CCTCCCCCCCCCCCCCTCCTGTTCACGAGAAATATACTTATTTATAAATGTACTTATTTTTATTTATAGAACCGACTGTATAATCAATACTAAACCTGCTGTTTCCATTTTACACGTCCTGTATAATTATACGATGCATCCAAAATTTATTCAAATCATTGTATATAGGTATATATAAGGAAGATAGTATCATGATTGTTAAAGTGTTAGTAAAAAATTTATCTGTATAGTTTCGGTTGTAAAAATTATTTTAACTTGATTTTTACTTAATTCAATAAATCCGTGCTCCGCATACGTGTAAGAAAATATCCACGCTTTTAACCAAAATAAATTTGCACGGTAGAGAATTAAAAGTATAGTTGAGTCGCGGCATCTCGTCAATATACGAGGCACGTAATCCCTATGATAAGCGAAAAGTTTCGCGAAACTAATCCCGCACACGGTTTCATTTGGGAAAGTTCTCGTAGTTTTTGATACCGCAATTCTCTCTTTTTTTAACCCAGGTGTACGTAAGCCTCGATCGAAGTTAATTCGTATTGGCAGACCCTATTCGGTCGGTGTAGATTAAAAAAAGATCACTAGCGGTGCAACTAGACGAACCCTCGAGGCACCTGTTGATCCTTCTCGTTAAAGTTTGAAGGAAGTGACCTGTCCTGGTCCTGTAGACACGCAAGGCAAACTCTAAGGCAGCTCTGACACACGAAAAAGTAGCAGGTAGCGCGATACACTGTCGGCTTTGCCAACAAATCACATTTTTCTTACTCGGCCTGTCATGAATATACATTACATTATCCATTAAATCCGAATCTATGCCGAGATTATCTTTAGCACTATTTTACGAGCTTTGCACGCGTCCGGTGTTTTAAGAAAATCTTGACGTTCTACGGAATTTAGCGCTCACACATCATCTACACGAAAAGACAAGATAGTTTGCATATAATTTACGTGTAATTTACATACAAAGTATCTTTTGGCTATTGATACGCTCCTCTATTTAAATTTTGAAGAATAAACTAAAAATAAAAATAGTTTTGGCATATTAAGACAGCAATAAATGTATATAAATGCTCTAGCAAATAAAGTATCAAAGTTTCAAAATAAATGAAATAATAAGTCATATTCTTTGATTAGTTTCAAACAGATTTTATAAATCAAGTTAAATGCATTAGTCGCAAAGTTTAAAAATTTAAACAATTTACACGTTCTCATCTTAACACTGAAAATCATGTCAAATTAGTTCGATTAATCCTAGCGTTATATTCACAAAATTTTTTCTATTATCTTCCTTTCTCTTTTTAAAAAATAATAAGAATATAGAAAATACTTTTTTTTATATGATAGATTGATTTTTGACTGAAGATTACTGCTTCTGCTTTTAGAGATTTTAAATTTTAAATCGCGTGTTTTATCGAAGATTTATTTAAAAAAAAAAGTACGATTTACATCTACTCAATTCAACACATCATCATTGTCTAATTCAACGATCCTTCCTCTCAGTGCTTGCATTCGATGATCGATACGAACTACACAATTGAACTTTCCAACTTCCCGTATAACATTTTCGAAAGAGTTTGGATGTCGTCCAGTATTCGGCAACAATATACATTGAAAAGAAAAAGTGTGTGCTGTCGACGAAACGCGGTCTAGATAAATCTGCTCAAAATCGTGCGGCTGGTAACAAGTAGGTGCAACTACTAGGCGGTCCCCGGTGACTCGAATTACAGCATGATTGTCAGCTGTCCGAGCGAAAACGCAACAAAAATACATTGGCATAGATTCGGTCAGATAAAAATAGCGGCCGTGTCGTGAAATAGAAGAACAACCGGCGCTTCCAAGGCATCGCTCGCAGGCGTGGAAGAAAAACTCCGAAACTTTTCCGCGTCCGATTCCGATCTCGGACCTAGAAAGTAAGAAAAGAAACGCTTAACGAACACGGCAAGATTTTATGAGGCACTAAATTCCAAACGAATATGAACTTTTAGGCTACGCTAATATTTCCGCCGGACGGAATTTATCACGCTCGTTATCCGATAAATTGGATACTTATTAGACTCATAACGAAGCCATGTTTTATATTATAGATCTTGCATCGTACATAATCGTATATAAGCATTGTTATATAATAATGAATATTTGGCAAACTTTAAAACAACTTGTCTTTTTCAAAAGTATGATAAAAAATCTAATTCAACAAATATCTAATATTAAAAAAAAAAGTAAATTTTGTGCGCCAAATATAACAACAAATGACATATGCATCCGTATAAAAATCTATACTTATATATGTGTATATATGTAAAGATATATTCTATAAGGGCCATGTATAAATTATTTTAAACTCGCGTAAGTCGTGTACCAGAGCCATATAAAAAAAAAGAATGCAAAACCTGAAAGTTATAAACAATTTCAAGTTTCTCATAAATCTAAATCTTAAAAATTTTTTTAAATTTTAAGTGCCCCCAAAGCAATAATAATTCGAAAAAAAAGCGATTAAGCTCACATTACCGAAATAATTCAAAACGTGCGAAATACGAAGTGTCAAAGTTTCACATAAAAAGCTACATAGGGACAAGGGATTGCAACAATCTCGTTAAAAAGTTATAATGACGCTAAAGTTGGTCGCCAGATTGTGTCGAACACTCGAACTCTCATACGCTTCGATGGACAACTCACTTACACCATATGCACAAACTTGTCGCATTATTAAATACACTATATGCTGTATTTTATTGCTGTGTTGAGAGAGAGTCGTAAAAACAAAATTTGCATAAATCGATTTATCAAGCATTTCTCTCATGTGGATAACTTTTTAATTTTAATATTTAAATATCTATAATATTGTTCTTCTCGTTTTGCAATAAGTTTCAAGACGTATTTTTAAAGTGAAGATATATCTTGTTTTTTATTCTTAAAAATGTGAATACGTGTACACATAAGCGTATTTAAATAAAATTGTATAAATTATAAAAATATCAAGATCAATGGTATATATAAAAATTAACATGCAGAAAAAAAATGTGGAAGAAACATTGCGATTACAATGCTAGAACGCAATTTCTAATGGGCGTACAAGATTTGCTGTGATTCGCCCTTAGAAAAAAAGCACAGAAAGAAATTTATTATTATTCCAACGTTGATAGTTGTGTGATTGTTACATCAATTTAAATAAAAAAATAATAATAATAAAGGAAAGATTTGAGAAATAAAACATTTGAGAAACAAATATTGGTGCAAAGATTAATATAGATATAGACAGTGATAAACATGTACTTGCAGCAATATGATTTTTGCAATTGATACATATAAAAGATTCATCACGATCCATCGTTACAAAAATCAATAAAAGATAATATTTACCCCAGCGTAGTCATCGTGACGATGGTGTACCAGAAGGCGGATGGTATCGAGGTGAAGTTGGTGCCGTCGACGTTCTTCTCCGCGTAGAACATGACGGTGGCAAAGATGATGATGGCCATCGCAAGCGAGAACACGAGGAAACCCAGCTCGGAGGCGCAGGACTTTAGGGTGTAACCTAGAATCCGTAGTCCCTGTGAGTGGCGCGAGAACTTGAAGATGCGAAACACGCGAAACACGCGCAACGTCACGAACGCGCCCGATACGTCATCGTTGTCGGTAATTCCGAGCCCAATATAGTAGGGCAATATCGCGACCACGTCGATGACCGACATCACGGAGCGCGCAAACTTGCATCGGCTGGGTGCGGCGAATAACCTCAGCAGGTACTCGGCCGTGAAGATCATCACGCACGCGGTGTCGAGGCAGAAGAACACGATCTTGTAGCGCTCGCCACACGAGAGAGTGCCGGCGCGACCCGGACGATTCCCGCACGGCACGGTCTCCACAACGTTCGCCAGTACGCTCACAGCGATGAAGAATCCGGTAACATAGTAGAAGACTAATGCGGCGGTGGAGATGTGCGGATTCTGGAATGCTCGCCACATGCTCTCCCGGATGTCAAGCAGCTGCTGGAGGGTCTGATCGCCGTTTTCGCTCAGCTTGTCGTCCATCAGCCGCTCGGCATT